AACGTGGATGATGGACATCAGAGATGACTGGTTATTCGGGCTACATTGAAGCAACTCACAAAACGCGTCGGAGACAAGTAGGTGGTGCATACACTAGGGCCAACATCTGGTTTGTTACAGGGAGAGACGGTGTACGCCTGGTTTGCATGTGCACACCATGACGATGAAACTGACTACGCTCTCGTGGAGAAACGTGTTGCTCATTGATAGAAGTTGATTAGAAATGTATAAAACATGTCCAAAACTAGGTAAGCATGGCGAAATCATACTTTGTCAGGCCTGAGAATTGGCTGATAATGTCATAAATTACATCGACAAAGAACGGGATAAAATGAGGATTTGGTTTGGTTTTTAGTTTTACATCGCACTCAGCAATCTGTAAATAATCGGGTCTGGACCAGACAATCCACTGATTTACATCATGAACATCGATCCACGCAGTTGGGATACGATGACCTGCATCAAAAAAGGCAGCGTGCCTGGATTAAATAAGGATTGAAGGAGTCAAGTATCACTATGTTAACTTCGCAATCTTCACAATCATTTGATGAATGACATTACACTTTTCATTATCACGTTTCAAGATTCGCCGTGCGGGTGGTAGACGTCGTGTTTACAGGGAACGTTATGCCCGAAACTGCATACAGGAAGTGGACAGATTTGGCGGGGGTAGTGTGATGATGTTGGCGACCATCTCCTAACACTGGTGGAACAGATGTGGTGTGAGTTCAAGGGAATTCAACGGCACAACGTTACACGGATGAGGAATCCCAACATCCAGGTCCTGACAGGGATGCACTGGATCAACGAGTGTGAGCATGTCAGCAACAACCACAGTACTTCGACAGTCGGCACAAGCGCTACAGGCAGAATGGGTGAACATTCCCTAGGCCACAATTCGGGATCTGACTGCTTTAATAGGACGACGATGCCAGTCAGCTTTGGATTCTAATGGCCATACAAGATATTGATCTACTGTTCCCTGCATGCCATATGGAACCTGGGTCAATGAGAATGATGTATGCAAATTTTGAACAATCGATTACCATCTGTTGATAATTAATATATGTAAAATTTACATCTAAAATCAATTTTGCGTTTCATTTTTGCAGAGTAAATCTATGATCCGATATCTTTCAATAACAGTCAATTCCCTCCCACTGATTTACACACCTGAACTGGAGATAAAGGAGACCAGTGAGACCGCCTGGTCTGTTTCATAGTTAGATCATGCATAAGATTGTATGGCCTGAGTGATGCTGCAACTCTCCAACAGTCAACTTTCTCTTTATGTCGAGCAATAGTCCAGTAGTTCCAGTCTTAGGTGCCTACATTGCATAACTTCTGAGGTACAATCGAGCATGCTCTTATTACCAAACATATCAAGGTGACTTTGTCTTGGGCCTCTGTGCAATGTGAGTATATAAGTATACGGAAACACACTGGAATCCTTAACTCGACATGAATGGCGAGAAAACGATATTGGCAGTACACCTCGACACACATCGAATGTGATTGGATCCCGTTCGACTACATTGTTGTGTTTGATTATCTCATGCCTAAATACCCAGTACAACTTTATTTCATTTCTATGGTCATTTTGCAAAATAATACAAAAATGCTAATGTGCGTTTTCAAATATACAAACTGTCAATCCCTGATAAATATCAGATTTCTCTCTCTGTCAATCACTCACTATCCCAGGTGACAAACTTCCAACAATGGGAAGAGCCCATGAATATTTCCAATGATTATTGAAAAGTGTTTGTCGTTTATAGTTATACATCTCTGAGACCCTGGTGCCCCAAACCCCGTAATGGACAATACATCAATAAATACAGTCTGTATACTGGAACATAGTTGACAATAAAGTCCAATTACTGAGAAACATTAATAAAATATCCCGCTGTAACCAAGAGTTTGGGCGAGCGAGTGAGTGAGTATGCTGTTTACATCTTTAAGTAATATCAAGGAATATCACTCGGGGGATACATCTTTAAGTATATCAAGGAATATCACTCGGGGGATAACTCATTAAGTGGCATCAAGGAATAATACTCGGGGGATACCTCATTAAGTATATCAAAGAATATCACTCGGGGGATAACTCATTAAGTGATATCAAGGAATATCACTCGGGGGATAACTCATTAAGTGATATCAAGGAATATCACTCGGGGGATACCTCTATAAGTGATATCAAGGAATATCACTCGGGGGATAACTCATTAAGTGATATCAAGGAATATCACTCGGGGGATACCTCTTAAAATGATATCAAGGAATATCACTCGGGGGATACCTCTTAAAATGATATCAAGGAATATCACTCGGGGGATACCTCTTAAAATGATATCAAGGAATATCACTCGGGGGATACCTCTTTAAGTAATATCAAGGAATATCACTCGGGGGATACCTCATTAAGTATATCAAGGAATATCACTCGGGGGATACCTCTTTAAGTGATATCAAGGAATATCACTCGGGGGATAACTCATTAAGTGATATCAAGGAATATCTCGCGGGGGATAACTCATTAAGTGATATCAAGGAATATCACTCGGGGGATAACTCATTAAGTGGCATCAAGGAATATCACTCGGGGATACCTCTTTAAGTGATATCAAGGAATATCACTCGGGGGATAACTCATTAAGTGATATCAAGTAATATCACTCGGGGGATACCTCTTAAAATGATATCAAGGAATATCACTCGGGGGATACCTCTTAAAATGATATCAAGGAATATCACTCGGGGGATACCTCTTAAATTGATATCAAGGAATATCACTCGGGGGATACCTCTTAAAATGATATCAAGGAATATCACGCGGGGGATACCTCTTAAATTGACATCAAGGAATATCTCACGGGGGATACCTCTTAAAATGATATCAAGGAATATCACTCGGGGGATACCTCTTTAAGTAATATCAAGGAATATCACGCGTGGGATACCTCTTAAAATGATATCAAGGAATATCACGCCGAGGATACCTCTTTAAGTGATAATATCCAGCTAGATCACACAGGGTAGTACATCCAGATCAAGTGTTTTTGAGATGTGTGTGGTGTGTGAGAAATATATGAAGTGAATGTGTGTGATGTATGTGAGATGCCTGTGAGGCGTGTGTGAGGTGTGTGTGGCGAGATGTGTGTGAGGTGTGTGTGGCGAGATGTGTTTTAGGCGTGTGTGAGGCGTGTGAGATGCTGGTGAGGCGTTTGTGAGGTGTGTGTGAGGCGTGTGTGAGATGTGTGTGAGGCGTGTGTGAGGTGTGTGTGGCGAGATGTGTTTTAGGCGTGTGTGAGGCGTGTGAGATGCTGGTGAGGCGTTTGTGAGGTGTGTGTGAGGCGTGTGTGAGGTGTGTGTGAGGCGTGTGTGAGGTGTGTGGCGAGATGTGTTTGATGTGTGTGTGAAGTGTGTGTGAGGCGTGTGTGAGGTGTGTGTGGCGAGATGTGTTTGAGGTGTGTGTGAGGTGTGTGTGAGGCGTGTGTGAGGTGTGTGTGAGGCGTGTGTGAGGTGTGTGTGAGGCGTGTGTGAGGCGTGTGTGAGGTGTGTGAGGCGTGTGTGAGGCGTGTGTGAGGTGTGTTTGAGGCGTGTGTGAGGTGTGTGTGAGGCGTGTGTGAGGTGTGTGTGAGGCGTGTGTGAGGTGTGTGTGAGGCGTGTGTGAGGTATGTGTGAGGCGTGTGTGAGGCGTGTGTGAGGTGTGTGTGGCTAGACGTGTTTGAGGCGTGTGTGAGCCGTGTGTGAGGCGTGTGTGAGGTGTGTGAGGCGTGTGTGAGGTGTGTATGGCGAGATGTGTGTGAGGCGTGTGTGAGGTGTGTGTGGCGAGATGTGTTTCAGGCGTGTGTGAGATGTATGTGAGGTGTGTGTGTGAGGTGTGTGTGGCTAGATGTGTTTGAGGCGTGTGTGAGGTTTGTGTGAGGCCTGTGTGAGGTGTGTGTGGCGAGATGTGTGTGAGGCGTGTGTGAGGTGTGTGTGGCGAGATGTGTTTGAGGCGTGTGTGAGGTGTGTATGAGGTGTGTGTGAGGCGTGTGTGAGGTGTGTGTGAGGCGTGTGTGAGGCGTGTGTGAGATGTGTGTGAGGCGTGTGTGAGGTGTGTGTGAGGCGTGTGTAAGGTGTGTGTGGCTAGATGTGTTTGAGGCGTGTGTGAGCCGTGTGTGAGGCGTGTGTGAGGTGTTTGTGGCGAGATGTGTTTTAGGCGTGTGTGAGGCGTGTGTGAGGTGTGTGTGGCGAGATGTGTGTGAGGCGTGTGTGATGCGTGTGTGGCGAGATGTGTTTGAGGCGTGTGTGAGGTGTGTGTGATGCCTGTGTGAGGTGTGTTTAGCGAGATGTGTGTGAGGCGTGTTTGAGGTGTGTGTGATGCGTGTGTGAGGTGTGTGTGGCGAGATGTCTTTGAGGCGTGTGTGAGGTGTGTGTGATGCGTGTGTGAGGTGTGTGTGGCGAGATGTGTTTGAGGCGTGTGTGAGGTGTGTGTGGCGAGATGTGTTTGAGATGTGTGTGAGGCGTGTGTGAGGTGTGTGTGGCGAGATGTGTGTGAGATGTGTGTGATGCGTGTGTGAAATGTATGTGATGTATGTGTGAGGCCTGTGTGAGATGCTAGTGAGGCGTGTGTGAGATGTGTGAGGTGTGTGTGAGAGGTGTGTGTGTGAGGCGTGTCGGAGATGCCAGTGTGGCGTGTAGGATGTATGTGTGTGCTGCATGTGAGAGATGTGTGTGATGTGTATGAGAGATGTGTTTGAGGTGAGATGTGTGATGTGTGTGTGAGATGCCAATGAGGTGTGAGAGATGTGTGAGGTGTGTGAGAGATGTGTGAGGCGCGTGTCAGATGCCAGTGAGGTGTGTGAGGTGTCTGTGGGTTGTGTGTGAGATATGCGAGAAATGTGTGTGAGATGCCTGTGGGTTGTGTGTGAGGTGTGTGTGAGGTGTGTGTGAGGTTATGAAGTCTCTGTAACTCCGTGAATTAAAAGCTGTCCTCCATGCAATTATTACAGGTGCTGAGAGAACCAGTAAGTCAGCATGGACTGTGAGGCGATACAGAAGGCGAGTTCGAACCTGACCCGCACCATGGGTATCCAGCCCACCATCCAGATGTGGCAGGCACTGCTGGCCATCCTCGGGACCGGCTTCTTCGCGGCGCTCATGGCGAGTCTGTTCGGCCTGATTAGGAAGCACATCTACAACGACGTGGTAAGACTTGGGCTCCACTGGTTAGTCACATTTACTCAGCACGGGGGGTATGGAGTCTGGCCTTTAGGGGGGCATGGAGTCTTGCCTTTAGGGGGGCATGGAGTCTTGCCTTTAGGGGGGCATGGAGTCTTGCCTTTAGGGGGGCATGGAGTCTTGCCTTTAGGGGGGCACGGAGTCTTGCCTTTAGGGGGGCACGGAGTCTTGCCTTAAGGGGGGCATGGAGTCTTGCCTTTAGGGGGGCATGGAGTCTTGCCTTTACGGGGGCACGGAGTCTTGCCTTTACGGGGGCACAGTCGGCCCAGTCGTCGAAGGCGCCGCGAATCGATGTGCAGAGTTGCGTCCCTATGATTGTGGGTTCGAATCCCGGTTCGCCCCGATTATGTTTCTAGGTTTGTCAGCATCATACCCGTGCTCGTGGGTTTCACCGAAGTGGTAAATGTCTGAGACCTGCATCACTTCGGGCTTTCCTCCCACATTTAGCTGACACGCCGCGATATAACTGGAATACTGTTAAAAGCGGCGTTAAACCCAACTCACTCACTCACTCAGTCACTAAGCAGAAACAGGGTCGGTCGGGTAGCCTAGTGGTTAAAGCGTTCGCTCGTCACGCCGAAGAACCGGGTTCGATTCCCGACATGGGTACAATGTGTGAAGTTCATTTCTGGGACATTGCTTAAAGCGGCGTAAAACCATACTCACTCACTCACTTAGCAGAACCTGTAGGTATTCCGGTCGAGAGTGGCACCCTTTGTTTGTGGTGAGAGGTGACGTAATAAATCGGATGGTAAGGCTCGTGTCTCTTTGATTCCAGGGTCATTGTACACCGTCGGCGTGTATTGTTCCTGACAATATCTTGACTTGATTATTTACAGCCCGCCGCCATATAGCTGGAATATTACTAAGAGGATCGTTAAACTACAAACAAAAGGACAAAAGAGTAGAGTATCAGACGTGTCACGTGTTTTGTTGTCGAGGATGTAGGTCAGCTTCCGGTTCCGGTAGGGCGGGGCTCGGTACAGATACTCGTCTGCTCCGGTAACGATTAGATAGATGGTCCCACGTGTCCTGGAAATAATGGGTCGTGTTCAAGTGATGGGCCATGCGCGCACATCCTGTGAGTCTATGTACAGAGCAGCGACCTGCCTGTTCAACAGCTACACACGAACACCACGCTTCTGAACATGACCTCATACTTCACTGTGCTGACGGCAGACATGGAGACTCGAGTGTCGGATACCCCTTAAGTCTGTGATGGTACTCGGGACACTGAGTTACCGAGGTGACGGTGCGTGTGTCGGATACCTATATATCATGTGATGGTACTCTGGATACTGAGTTACCAAGGTGACGGTGCGTGTGTCGAGCGTCGGATACCTATATATCATGTGATGGTACCCGGATACTGAGTTACCGAGGTGACGGTGCGTGTGTCGAGCGTCGGATACCTATATATCATGTGATGGTACTCGGGATACTGAGTTACCGAGGTGACGGTGCGTGTGTCGAGCGTCGGATACCTATATATCATGTGATGGTACTCGGGATACTGAGTTACCGAGGTGACGGTGCGTGTGTCGAGCGTCGGATACCTATATATCATGTGATGGTACTCGGGACACTGAGTTACCACGGTGACGGTGCGTGTGTCGAGCTAATCCTGCACGAGACAAATGGTGCATCTCGACTCATGGATCTTTGACGTCAAATGTGATGCGTTCGTGAGCGTCGGTTCACACAACATCTAATATATCTGAGGAGAGATAACTTCGTCACGGCACCGTTCACCTGTCAAATTGACATCGAAGGCTCAACAGATTCACTGATGGGCAGTGATGCCGGTCCGCACCATTACGCTTCCACTACCGCAAACAGAACGTTGAACAGCGCAGGCGACAGTGTAACGTTCACCACGTCGACAAACACGGCGACGGCCATCACTGCTGTCAAGATGAAACCTGGACTCACCTACAGTCCTACAACTCGAACTTTCAGATGAGGTCTTGACTCTTCCAGCCGTGCAGTCTACAAAGTTGCTTTTCACAGTTTAAACACCTCAACGCTTACCCAGTGTTTTAATTAGCTCGGTCCCAATGTGTGACGAATTTCTTACTCGTGGAATTTGATGCATGCAGTGACCGGGATGCACGGGCAATTTCCGGGTCATCATGGGCTACCATGACGACGTGCATCTGGCTACCATGACGACGTGCATCTGGCTACCATGACGACGTGCATCTGGCTACCATGACGACGTGCATCTGGCTACCATGTTTGACTCGATAGCAATGTTATATAAAGGGTTTTTATGGGCACATGAGTTTTGTCCAGCTGGAGTGAGTGAGTGAGTGAGTTAATATTTAGCCACATATCGGCAGTATTTCAGCCATATCGTGACGAGAAGTACATTAATAATACATATATTTAGAATGAATAAAAACCTGTCAATGATGGACAGTAAAATAACTAGATTTATCACAGATTATATTTGAAACTAGTAGATAGCCATAAAAATATAACATCATACGTAACAACACAAGATAAAAATGAGCTATTGATCGCCAGCCACTGAAGAGAGATCACCATGCTAGGGTCCATGGGGACTTACAGTACTTTTGCATCCTGCATGGACCCCAGCCGGATTTGCATCATCCCTTCAGCTGTTGGCGATTATGACAAATTTAGCCAAAGTTAAACGAACATATATACTACTATTAAAAACGTGGCTGAAATAAATATACTTTGAAAGACGTGGTCTTAGATACCCTCTCAAGGTAACAATAATTTTACACTACTTCAACCCCCTTCGAGGATACAGCCACTAACAATCTCAGTTATCACATTTATTCTGCCGATTATAAAATATTATATACACAACATATTAATCAAAATTTATGTGACAATTCAATTTCTTTTAAAAAAACAATAATTAAATTAGAACTAATAGTGTTAAAAAGATCCTTCATAGATTTAACCTTGAAATAGTTATCCCTTGTGATGGAAAAATCAACACAGTCAAGCAGGACATGCTTGACTGTGATTCTTTCATCACAAGGGGTGCAGAACGGAGGATCCCCACCTTTCAATAAATATTCATTTGTGTAACGCGAATGGCCAATACGACATCGTCGTAAAATGACCTCTTCAAATCTGGACTGACAACCCAAGTAGGTGTAACCGATATTTGGTTAAATGTCATGTAATTTATTGATACCTACTTGGGTGTCCCACTTCTTTTGCATCAGATCTCGTATATATGATCCAGTCACAGGTCTGTAATCAGTGTATGGAACAAGAAGTGGTGTCACAGATTTGTTGAGTGCTGCTTTAGCAGCAGCATCGGCCTTTGTGTTACCTTTGATGCCAACATTGCTTGGTAACCAGGAAAAAACGATGTCGTATTGGCCAGTAGCAAGTTCATTATATAATTCATGTATTTCGATTAAAAGTGGATGTTTAGTAGATTGATTAGTTTAGAAGACAGGAAAGAGAGTCTGAAAATATAATAAATTGTTTATGCTTTGATTGTTTACGAATGTATTCTAGTGCTGTTAATATGGCGTTTGATTCGGCTATAAAAATGGAACAGTTATCTGTAATTAAAGGGGATATTGTCCTGGATCCGACGATGGTGGCGCTAGCAACTGCGTCACCATCCTTTGATCCATCGGTAAATAAGTATCATATTTGTTTCTTAACTAATTATACTCTTGTTGAAAAATTAGTTGATTTGTTTCAGATTTTTAAAATTTAGTTAATGTTAGATCCACCTCTGGTTTCAGTAACTGCCATGGGGGAAGTCAAAAGTTGGGGTTATATTTTAGCATCCGAAATGGACGATTGTATTCTTAGTTCGAGGGGTGGCGTGAGTGATGATTTTTAAGTATAGAGGTCTTCATAAAGAGGGTTAAAAACACAGTCATAGGCTGGATTGGATTTCAAAGAACGTAATTTAGAAACATTTTGTAAAGATAATTTAATGCGACGTTGTTTAAGTGAAGGCTCATCAACCTCCACGTACAGACTAGGAACTGGAGAAGTTCTAAAGGCTCCAAGGCAAAGCCTCAGGCCCTGATGGTGAACAGAATCCAGTCTTTTCAAATTGCTTTTACATGCTCCACCATAGACGATGGAGCCGTAATCAAGTTTAGCGCGGATGAGGGCTCTGTACAGTTTGAGGAGGGTTTTCTGATCCCCTCCCCATTTTGCGTTTGAATTACTTTTATTATATCAAGAGCCTTCAGGCATTTAGTTTTTGAATAATTTATGTGTGGCAGAAAGGTCAAGTGCCGGTCAAAAATAATACCAAGAAACTTGGCCTGTTTGACAACTTTGATAGGAGCACCATCCAAAACTAAATCAGGGTCCTTATGCGGCTTATACTTTCTACAAAAATGAATGCAGTTGGTCTTGGCTTTTGAAAATTTAAAGCCATTTTCAATACACCATTTATGGATTTTGTTTAAACACAATTGCAGTTGCCTTTCAATGGTATGCATGTTTTTACCACGACAAGAAACATTAAAATCATCCACAAATAATGATCCATCAAGTGAATCGTTTAAAACCTTCGACAAACTGTTAATCTTTATGCTAAACAACGTTACAGACAAGATACTGCCTTGTGGGACACGCTGATCCTGATTGTAATGGTCAGACTGGGTTGAACCCACACGAACTTGAAATTGTCTTTTTTTTAAAAACTGAGATATAAATAGAGGCAAACGGCCCCTTAAACCAAAATCATGTAGATCTTTTAAAATACCATACTTCCATGTGGTATCATATGCGTTTTCGAGATAAAAAAATATTGATACAGCATGTTGTTTATTTATTATGGAATTTTTAATAAAAGATTCTAAACGTACTAAATGATCGATGGTACTACGATTTTTGCGGAAACCACATTGAATGTTAGTAATGAGATTGTTGGTTTCCAAGTACCAAACTAAACGATTATTTATCATACGTTCCATAGTCTTACAAACACAGCTAGTGAGGGA